CAAGTAGACGTATTCTCAATGCAACGGTGACGCTAACTCTCATTCTACCACTTCAATTTTTGTTTTACCCTTTTGTAATTCGTTTCAACAATGTATTATACCCAATATTCCCCTCGGTTGGATCAGTCTATTAGGACATTTAAATCTCTTTCCTTTTACAAGTATTTTTTACACACTCCACATGATATCCTTCTTTCACTTTCCTGTCCCAATCCTTTTACCTTATCTTCATTGTAGGAATTTGCACCTGTAACTATCTTCATTTTATCCTTTTTCTCAATTCTTTTCTCACGACTCCTCCCTTGTAAAATAGGAACTCTGTGCCACGCGAAAAACAAGAATACCACCGTCGTACCAGCAGCTCTTTATACCTCGAACTTGGGTAATTTAATTTGTAAAATGTACATAACTTAATAATAATGAGTAGACATAAAAATGAAACCTTCGGTAGGGACTAAGGGCGGAACGAACGTACTAGGTTGTCCGGATTCTCAGCGTTTTGAGTGTTTCACTTTAGGCGTTACTTCGTAAGCATAACTTTCTTAATTCTCATGATTCAATCGAAATAAGCACTGTTCGAATCAGCACACTTTTGTCACTGTGACACCAGTCGATAAATCCCATCGAAGAAAAAACCGGGTGGTCGAGAATCCACGAAATCCACGAAGGCTTTTTTGCCTGGTACTGACTGACGAATTATTTTCCAGCAAGGAAATTCTGAAAATGTTGAAAAGGTGATAGTCGGTTTGTGAAAGGTCTGGAGGATATGGCGGTGAGGTAGAACCTCAACCCCCGATTCGTTTAATCTATGAATAGTGATTTGTGAAACGTGTGGGCGGGCGTTGTCATGCAGAAGAATAGGACCCTTCCTGTTGACAAGTGCTGGCTGCAGCTGACGCAATTTTCGGTACGTTTCATCGATTTCTTCGCAGTAGGACTCTGCTGTGATGGTTTGGCCTGGTGACAAAAAGTTATAGTGGATTACACCAGCCGCTGACCCCCACACTGTGACCATAACCTTTTTGTGAGGATTCGGCTTTGGAAATTGCCTCGGTGGTTCTCGGCATCCGACCGCTGTCCGGAACGTCTCCTGTTATCATGCATGGTCCACTTTTTATCCCAGTTGACAATTCGGTCCGAAAACAGGTCGTTTCTGTTGCGCAAAAGCAGTGAAGAAGAAACCTCGAGACGTGCCAATTTATGCCGGTCACTCGAATTGTGGGGTACCCACTTTTCGAGTTCTTTCACCTTTCTAACGTGTTTTAGACCATCCGCAACAGTGGATTTGCCAACGCCTAGCTTTCTGCAATTTCTCGAACTGTTTGGGATAGGTACGCCCCCACGAACGCTTTCAAATCCTCGTCAGGGTTGTGCTTCAGGTCGACCGCTACGAGGTTCATCTTCAAGACTGAAATCTCCGGAACGAAATTCGTCGAACTATTGTCGCACGGTGTTTTCTCCAGCACTACTGAGCCCACACATCTGGTTAATTGGTCGAGCTGTCTCGACTGGGTATTGACCCAATTTGTAGTTGAAGAAAAATATCGTCCGAAGTTGCTCCTTTTACATGCTTCAAAGTCTCGGGAAAAGGGGTTATCAAGCAATGGTGATACGGAAATCATACCATCAGATAGCGCAAGAATCCCTTCAAGATGTACTACTGAGACGCAAGGGAGAATGAGCTTTTGATCAGCAATGAATGTACAAAAAATAGTAACACAAAACGCTGAGAACTTCCCAAACAACCTAATAGTTCTCAAACGAATCTCCTAATCCTTCGTGTCTTGCATGTTCAGGCGTAAATTACCAAGGGTGTCGTGCAGTGACGTGAGAGTTTGCAAATGATCCGAAACGTCTATCTCGATGGTTTCCATGTCCATCAAGAAGGTTCACCTTGGCGTAATTTTGGGGCTGGCGCATGAGGGTGTCCCAGAATTCTTCTGACATTGCTCTCAAGGCAACACGTAATGGAGGAAGTAAACAAAAGCTTCGTAATTGAGACCTACAGCATAAATGCTGCAAACGGGAATGCTCAATACGTGATTCTACTGAATCTACGGGAATGCTCAACACGTAATTCTACCAAATCTGTCTCATGAAGACGTTCCTGAAACGGTTTAGAGGAAAAATACAATGCGCGATTTTTTTATTCAGGAGACGTTACAGCTTCTGCACAAAGATAAATATCGAAACTTTGAGACACAATTTCTTCATATAGGAGCCGAGGTTCAGGGAGGGATGGACTAGCTTTCTGCAACTTTCGCAGCCTACGCTGCGCGTATCGAAGTTCTTCTCTAAGGTCATCGATGTGTACCGTGTTCTGAAAAAAGTACTAAGACTATGTACGAAATAATGGTGGTGGAAAAGGTGCTCCTATTGGATGCCTCTATAGGCATGCTTGCTTATTGAGTTTTTTGAGACGCACTTGCGGGTTATGTGGTGTCCGTGGCCAGGAAGCTAATGGAGCTGAGTTGATTGGATTGTGGCGCAATGTGGTTTTGCTACGTATACCTTTTGATTTGAACATTTTGAGTTTTTTTTCATAAGAGTGCATGACATAATACGAAGTTTTTGAAGCTGTTTTGTTATGATAACTGCTGTTCAACGTCGCACAACGCGTTTCAAATGTCAACAAGAATGTTGGATTGTGGGCAAAAGTCGTGCCCCAGGCGGGAGTCCAACCCGCACCTCACGCTTTCCGGGCGAGGGCGCCATCCCTTACGTCACCAGGCCCCCTTTACCCTCTCAGCTTAACGGCTTATGCCGTAACCTTACAGCACTCACACGTTTAAAGGCAGTTGGCACGATAGTTTGGTAATTGGTCAAAATGCTAGTGGGGCGCTATATAGTGAGGAAATGGCGAAAGAACGGAGTGAAACGGTCGAAATCCTGCGAAAAAGGAGCCTCCGTTCTCACTGTGTTAGTATTCAATTTTGGACGAGTCTCCCGTAGGCATCTTGCCAATAACCGCTACCGAAAGTAGGGCTGCATATGTTTACTTATATATCCATGCAGCAGCGCGGCTGTTTCATACCAATGCCTTCGCTTCTTAATTTGCTTAGCAAATGAATCAATTAGGGCGTCTGGAGCAGTCGTCCATTTGTGGGCGGGCGGGCAAGGTGGGCGTTTGGGACCTAAAGTCGTGGCTTGATAGCGCCCTTATAACGGCACCTTTCCTGTAAAAGGCATTATGCACCGCCTGCTTAGGGTCGCGGAATTCCGCCCCGCCACACGTATTACTCCTGCTCGTCTTGGAGGATTTATCGTGCCAACTGCCTTTAACTTGGTGAGCCGGTCAGCCGTAATCGTGAGATATGGAACCGCAAGGCCGAAGGCTTTACAAGTTTTTGAAGCTGTTTTGTCATGATAACTGCTATTTAACGCCGCAGTACGCGTTTTGAATGTTATCAAAAGAATGCTAGTTGTGGGCAAAAGTCGTGCCCCAGGCGGGAGTCAAACCCGCGCCTCACGCTTTCCGGGCGAGTACGCTATCCGCTACCCGTTGCCAAGTTAAACGTGTGAGTGCTGTAAGGCTGCGGCATAAGCCGTTAAGCTGAGAAAAGCGGTCTTGGTGGCGTAACGGACAGCGCCTTCGCCCGAGAAGCGTGAGGTGCGGGTTCGACTCCCGTCTGGTGCACGACTTTTGCCCACAACTCAGCGTTCTTGTGATAGTACGGAGTATTGTGCGAAAAGGTAGGCAACATGAAACCCAGAATGCGCAGTACTATTAGGGTGTCCACAAAGTTCGTTGGCCATTCGTTTTTTGGAGAGCTTATGAAGATATCCACAAGTTGAACTCCGGTCCATGATTATAATCTCCATGCATACCCACCACTTTCGCCAACGATCGGGTAGAGAGGCAACTCCATCCTCTTAGAAGGCGGCCAGCCGCGGCTCGCCCAAGTCCTCGATCACGTCCTCGAGGTCGCGCTCGTTCTTCAGCTGTTTTCCGTCCAGGAAGTTTCGCATGGACCGGAAGATGTGGTATCGCAATAGACTGATGTCCGGGCTATATGGTGGATGCGTGAACGTCTTGATGCCCAGCCTGTCCAGGACGGCCTGAGTATCTCTCGCTTTGTGGGGGCGCGCGTTGTCCCAGAGCACCACGGATTTGCAAGTTTCTGGGACACGGCGGCAGCTTTCACCTTGACCTCCTGTAATTCTTAAGAGAGGGTCTCTGCCGTCACTGCGGATGTTGTGTTAGGGTGCTATAGTGGACGACGCCGTGACTTGAGAACCAGAAACCCTCGGCATATCTTCGATGCCATAGTTTCCATTGGTGAAGCGAGTCCCCCATTTTGAACATCCAGTTCTTGGAAGGGGTGTTATCACCAAACTGCTGACGCATCCTGGTCGTGGCCTGACGTCTGGAGATGTCCAGATTGTAGTAGTCCAGCAACTATCACTCATCTTCACTGCTTTATTGTGGAAAGATCAGGAAAGGAAATTTAGAGCTAGCTAGCTCAGAAGATAGCCCATCGCGAGTACTTTCAGTATTGCGAAACCATTATGCAAAATCACAACGCGTTGCGTAACGCGAGCGCGCGTTTACAAATGGCCACGCGAACTTTGTGGACACCCTAATAGTTCTAGGACTTGTACTCCTACAGTACTCAAGCACATATACATGAGAAAGGCTGATAGCGCAACTATGAGAAGCGCCATGATTACGGTCCTGTACCAGAGTATTGCGACATCAAAAATCTGGCCAAAGAAACTCATGGTGTACATGGAGTTCTGACAATAAGGGGTAATGCAGAGTATTAACATATTTCAAAAAGCCCCTACTTCGAAGGTGTATTTGGTAATCCCGCAGGAAATAGTGCATTCTAGGAGTTGACATGCGGAACCTATTTGGATTCGTAGACTTGACTGTGGCCCAGTCGGTGCACAGGGAACAACGAAGTAGTGTGAGGCGCATAATATCTCCCTGTGAGTTCCCTTTGGAGAAGTACATTTTACTTCTGCTACGGCACCTGTTGCGCAATTATAATAGCCTCTTAATGTGGTGTTCTCGACGGCGCAACTAAGGTGTCCACGAAGGTTGTGTCAAAAGTCTCATGAAAGCTGAGAAGAAATTCGGAAGAAACTAAATGAGGGGTTTTGGCCACGATGGGCGAGTTGTGTCTTTTCCCCAGTTCCCATTGTGGTGCTCTTACAGGTAGTTTTCGCGGAATGTGGTTGAATTTCTCAGCCACATCATACAAAGGGCATTCACATCGCACTTTCGACTCAGCCTTACAATTTCCTGAAAACCTGCAGTTTAGTGTCTCGGCTGCTCTTCGGCTTTCGCAGAAGAGATTTGGTGTTATCGTATTGAACCAGATCGCAGTGTCGTATCCCTCTGTGATAAAGCCGCTGTTCAGCTAAGGAGCGGGAGGCCTTGTGAGGGAAGTAATGGTGATCTGTAAGGTTTCGAAGTTTACTGGAACATTTGGGACGAGCTGGGCGCCATGCCAATACCGTAGTTCTTTCGAATGAAGGTCCTCGACTATGATCTCTAGTTTGACCTCTTCCGTCCAACGCAGACAACGAAATATTCTGTAGACGGTCGGGTCATTGGGCTTGGCAAAAAGACGCAAGAAGAGGCAACCGGAAGTGAAGGAGGCGCAATCGCAGTCCCATCCCCCACAGAACTCGAAACCGTCAGTACGTCCTGGATAAGAGTTGCCGCTTCCGAGCTCTGGAATCAGATCACTGCTTGATACTGGCGCATTTTTCACCTGAACATGATGTCATGTACGGACAACTTTACTGTCATAAACGTGCATAGCCGTAGAACATGCGCAGTATTCAGTTTCTTCTTCACAGCGTAAGTATGACCCTATCCATCTAATTTCAACATTTTACTAGAGTAGAGTATCTGACCAGGCACAAGCGAGCGCGTCGGGTGAAGGTGTTGAAGTTCAAAACTTCGGTTAGCCTAACTGAGCAGAGTTCTTTGCCATCTTTGTTGGTGCAAACTGCGGCATGGTGCTCCAGTACATTGACTTGTTGGCATGAGAATGCCGGTCCTGCCATACAGCATAGTGATGCTACTATCGCAAGTGCTGCTGTCAAACGAGCTTTCAGAGAAGATCTACATCTTATTCGGGATTTTTGCAGTAGTTTTAGGAAGTGTTGAGTAACAGCGCATACTGGACACCAGACTAGTGATACTGCTCCTGCTAACAGAATGCATATTGGTTTTCCAATAACTACAGGCGCGTATAAGAGCGCTTAAATAAGGCCGATAATCACACAGAGAGTAAGGATGAGCACAAAAATTGCTCCTGTGGCCAACATTTAGGATTGAGAAAGATGGAGGTTTAAACCCAACAATCAATGTTCGCACAAAAATCTAGTCCTCCGCATGTCATCTCAATAACAGCGAGTTGGCCGTTTGCATGCCATTTTAGGACCACCTTGTGATTATGCAACGTGACTTCGGGTGGAAATCGTTCAATCCGCGGAGTCCCATCAGAGTGTTCCATCTTGCAGTTCATGTCGGCGCAAACTTCAAACGCAGAAACATCTTGTCCGAGTCGGCTGTTCGTTGGAACTCTTTTTGGGTTTCGCGAAGAGAACTTAAAGGCAGTTTGCACGATAAATTCCCCAAGGCGACTAGGATCAATACTCCTGGCAGGATAGAATCCCGCGACCCTGGGCAGGCGCTGCATAGCGGTTTCCCCGAAGAAGGTGCCCTTATAAGGACCTTTTCAAGCCCCAACTTTACGTCCCATACGCCGGCCACGCCCACCTACAAATGGACGACCATTCCTGACGCTTGTATTCATTCATTTGCTAAGCAAATTATGAAGCGAAGGGATTGGTATGAAGCAGCCGTGATGCTCATGCATACATGGGTAGACGTATGCAGCCGTATCTTCGGTAGCGGTGATTGGTAAGATGCCTACGGGAAACTCGTCCGAAAACGATTTACAAGTCACTGAAAACGGGGGCTTTTCCTTCGCAGGATTTTGTCCGTTTCACTCCAATCTTTCGCCATTTCCCCCACTTTTTTTTGCTGCCCTACTAGCATTTTAGGCTAAGTAGGAAACCATCGCGCCAAGTGCCTTCAAGTATTTCCTTGCCATATCCCCAGAACTTTTCCGTTTCTCAGATCGATGACTGGATTGCATCCATCACTTGCTGGCGATTTTGCAGGGTGCGGCGCGCATCTGAAGGGAGGTAAAGGGGGTCGTCGTTTTCCGCGGTATCAATTTCTGGAAATTTCACGACGATATCGCGCTGCAAAAAAATCTATCGGGCGCACAGACGTGAGGTCTTCCTGTGCCGAGCCTTGATATGTAAGGGGTCTAGCGTTTTAGTTGGGCCTCAATTTCGATGACTGTCGTGTGGATTTCATCGAAAGAACGCTGTCGTGCGCCACTCAGCGCGTTATAAAGGGCGTGCTTGATAGATTTGATAAGGCGTTCATAGAAACCACCTCGCCAGGGCGCACACGGTGTTATATGGTTCCATTCCCACTTGTTGGCTATGCTACGCTGTAAATTCTCGTACAATTCATTCAGTTGGTTGTTTAAGATGGCCTCACCTAATATGAAAGTCGGCGCATTATCACAGGTTACCGACTCTGGTAAGCCTCTACGCGCAATGAATCATCTGAGCGCATTCATGAACTCCTCCGTCTCTAAGCTTCGTACCACTTGTAAGTGGATGAGGCATGTAGTTGTGCATGTGAAAATGCACCCATACAGTTTTTGATTGCTTCCATTCTCATGGTAAGAAGGGAGGTCAAATAAGTCTGATCCTGTATGTCGAAAGGGGTGACTCCTTAATACTCTCCGGCTCGGCAGATCTGGCCTATCTGGATAACAATATGGAAGAGCATTAAACTTCTCCCAGGGAATGCAATGAGTAACTAGTTTTCATAATTACTGGCTCAGTTTTGGGATCTAGTGCTGCTCCCTTATTGTGGCTACTGTATGCTCTATTCCTCTGTGATAATTCCCATGAGCTTCTTGAATAAGGCGCTGCGCTAGTAATGGGTTTGGTACGATGAGGATAGAAGTTTTGGCTATGTCAAGGAGTGCCGAATATTCCCAAACGTCACGAGCGCTATATCCGTTGTCCGTCTCCGTAGAGGCGCAAAGTGTTTCCCATGGATTTCCGGTACTCTTTTGTAAAGTAGACGGACTGATGGTTTCGAAGGAGAACCTTTTTCGCTGCTTTCAGTTCAACACTGGACAGTGAGTTACCCGCATCTGAAATGTGTTCCAGTCCAAGAATTTTGAGCGCCAAGTACGGCTCTCAATAACCTTGGAATGGTGTTGTAGTACTGTAACTTTTCTTCTGTTGTTGAAACTCTCGCAAGGTTGCTAAACCCCTTTATTGGCTTACGCACGTTTCGGAGAAACCGTCTCCATCAGAATCCGAAAGGATCGAAGAGATTTGTGAAAAGAAGACCAAAGGTCTCTACAGTCCTGCTGCAGATCCAGGTTATCAATCCAAAAATTAATCGGAGGGACGAGTGCTCTGCTATCACGCGACAACTGAGACACTTTATAAGGCTGACCTCCCACGAGGAGCCAGAGTGGAAAACAGTCCGACTTCGTTTGGCAGTCAGCTTTCTACTCGTCTCGAGGACTGGTTTACGGTGAATTGTCTTCCTCGTGATTGGGTGATGACCTGATTCGCGGTCGAACTCCAGTAGTACTGCAGAGACGCTTGGTCGGACAGTCCAAATCGTTTCGATCGTTTCAGGCTCTGATGAAGTCGCATGCGTGAGCCAATAAAGTGGTTTGTCAACCACGAGTATCAAGAAAATCTACAGTATCAGAATAGTGAATGCTTACGACATCACCGGCTTTTTTTACAAGTTCTCATTCATAGAGTATAAGGGTTGACTGGTCAAAGGTGAGCTGAGATGCTGAAGAACAACAACGACAGTTGGAAAAGCATTTTAAGAGCAGGTGAATCGTTGAGTAGCTCTCGTTGGATCGTATTCAGATTGGAATAGTAGGTTAACAGATGAGATTAGAGGAAAAGATCGATACGCCTGGGGCACCTCGGTTAGTGAGTATTCAGGACGTCGATCAATGAAGAGGGCAAGTTACTGGCGAAGAAAACAAGGAAACATCCCCTCCCCCAACAACTCTAATATGAATCAGCCGTATTTTTCATGGTGATTAGGATAATATAACTTGAGTGGGATCGTCATCATACTCTATATGTAAAGCAGAAGTTGTCTGTGTGTCTGTCGGACCAATAGGAGAACATGGTTCCGCCCACAATGGGTGGGGCCTATATTTAGCTGAGCGTTGTCTCTTGAAAACGTTGTCAACAAAACTCTTAAACGCCGTCAACTTTGGGATGGGGGGGGGGTGAGGGCATGTTGGAAATATACCGAATACACACAAACTAAGCCTCGCACACAATAGTGCACCGAAGTGAGTAGTGCCAATGACAAAAATTCGTAAAATTCCTCTGGGAGATCATAGGGACCCGGGACAAAGTCATTCTCTATGCACCACGTTAGACTACACCCACAATGGGCGTGGGCATACCCGAAGTGAGCGGGGCGTTTGTTCGGGCGGGCGGGGCCTAACGCAATTCTTCAAAATTCAGACCCGGAACTGCTCGGGCAGCAAGAAAACGGACTCGAGTAAAAAGTGGGCAGGTAGATAAACAGAAGGAGGCACACCCGAACTAGGCGTTGGAAAGAGCCCGGCAGATTGCAGTCGGCGGGCGTTTGTCTGGGTAGGCGGGGACCAAGTAAATATTTCGAAGTTCGAACCCGGAACTGCCCAAGCTGCGGGAAAACGTGGAGTAAGAAGTGGGTCGAGGTTGATTCGATCGACTTTTGCGAGCAGTGTTTGGATGAACCCGCTCTGTAATCGACTCGCATTTTGTTATAGAAAATTCGAGTGGGCTGCATTCTATGAGGGGGGAGGGGCGAGGGACGGATAACATAAGTGAAGAGACGCCCAGCGAATGAGATGTGCGCCGAGTCGGCGGCGCCTGCTGCAAAAGTTAATAATATAGTCGCAAGGCAAGTGAGAATAGCAGTGAATATGAGGACATAATCGAAAATCCATAACTTACTACCAATTTTTTTGCATTTATTTATTTGTTTATTTACCTGCTACTCATTCTACAACAACTCAAATACAAATACACTTCCACTTCAGTTCATCCTCTAAGCATCCAGTACCGGCATTCAACCCCTCGCCTTTTCAAAAATTTTACAACCGTCCACTAGGGGAGATATTACCAAATGTGAAAGGGTACTGTTCTGAAATTGCAAAAAAGATTTTTTTTTGTGTAGCGAAGGCGGGCGATCCGACTGCCCCACAGTTTGGATGGCCGGAGACCCTCTTCACACGCATAAGGAGGATCGCTCGCCGAAGGCGGGCGATTTGACTGATTCTATGATTAAAAGTGAAAACGTTTCGTTTCGAAGCAAAATGCCGAAGTCGACAGCCAGTAACGGGACAGGATCCAGTTTCTTAGAAATTACAAAACAACCTGGAGTGTATATGCATTCCTATTGCATAAAGCACAGCACTACACATTGCACTTGTAATTCTCTTCAAGGCTGAAGATGCTCTATCATGCGAAATTCATATTCGGTTGTCCTAATCTATTAGGCCATCCCATTCAAAAGTGCCGAGACATATAGTGGAGTGGCAGAAAAGTAAAGGGGATAGAGCAGCGAGCTACTACACCATTTGGAGGCTAGTACCTTTAGCTATGTATCTGTGAAATTTGGTGAACCTACCTACAGAATCCTCGAAGAAATTGAAAAGAAGCCCGAATGGTGAAAATCAGCGCCGGATTTCCAAATGAGTCGCCATATAAGAAAAGTGCGCTGCTCAAATTTGACGTGCGCCGGACCAGTAGTTGTGTGTAATGATGTTCTCGAAATAAAAGGTGGAAGGCTTGGTTAAGGTGCCCGAAAAAGAGGGAAAGGGAAAATTTGTTGTCGTGGGTGTTCTCATAATGTTCATCCTGCACAAGAAAAAAGGGTGGACGAGGTCAAGCGCTGAATGTCTGACCACAGAGCCTGCACCTTTGTCGAGCTTCCCCGCAAGACCCCTGCTGCAACTGCTGCCTGAGTTATGTCCGATAAACTGAGAATGTTCAAGAGGGTATGCCATGGGTACCTAATTTTCCTGTAGAAGTAAGAACGCAGTACCGATTCTGTGCCTTAGCACTCATGGTCTCCGCATGAGATGTCATTCACGACTGTGAAAACGCTCCCCGGCCCTAGATGAAATATGGGTGGTCTTAGACCTCGAGCCAAATTTTACAATCGTCAATTTGGTATGAATGCGGATGGGAAGGCGCCCGAGTTCTATTATGAGGAGTTACGTGGGTGCAAGTGGATGATCATCATAGCGAAGGATTCCCACACTGCGGCTTTCAGTCGGCTCTGTACAGAGAATAAATGGTCGCTGTCGGTGTATATTGCCTGTTCCTCGGCAATAAGACCGACGAATGGATGATAACACACAACTACAAGGAGGCCAACATTGCTCGT